CCCTAACCGTGGTCGATATCCTACAAGGAAGGACAGATTGTGAGGCTATCCTGAGGCAAATTGACCTGAATGTTCAATCCCGACTGCTTCGTAATAACCTTATGCTAAGACTGCCTTTACATCGCACAAATTATGGAGCGTACGGTGCGATTTGTGGACTGCAGAGAACATTCAACAGAGTTGCATCTGTTTTCGACTTTCATCTCTCCCGTGATGCGCTTCGTCGAAAGTTTTCTTCTGTTTTTCGCCGGCAGGAGTTAAGATATTGACTATAAGATATACGTTTTTTAATGTTTTGTTAATTAAAGTGCGCAGGAGGTGCGCTGACGAGCGCCGAGCGTACGAACGGGCAGAGATCGTGAAGAAGTCGGCAGTCTGATAGGTCACGTCCACGGTACCGTGAGTAACTTTAGCTAGACAGATTGGACTAGTTGGAAAGAACAGGCATACAATGAGAGCATAAATGTACACAATGTAAGGGGCCAATGGTGGGCACCAAATATAAGCTACAAAATGATTTTTTTCTTTGATTTATTTTCCGTCGATCTTGTTTTCCGTACTGAGTACCAATGCTACCGACGCCAGGGAGGCAGCTCTCACACCTGGACCCTACCTATCGACTCATCAACTCATGAACCGGGGACCAACGGCTTTACTTCCCTTCCTAAGGAAGGTGTGATCAGAGATGTTATGCCTCAGAACATCCCGGCGGCGCCGACTGGGATTGAAACCAGGCCTGCTGGGGTGAGAGGTAATCACGCTTACCACTACACCACCGTCGCCGCTGCTACTACAAAATGATGATTTGTGTTCCTTTGAAGATTTGATGGTGCAATTGGCCTTAGTGTTTGAGTCTTAGTCCGCCCCATGGTAGTTCTGCTCTACCACTACCGGAGAACTTGTAACAGTTTTCTCGTAGATCAGACTGGAGATACGTTTGACACCGCCACGGCGAGCCAGACGACGGATGGCGGTTATCCCGAAGAACCTCCCAAGTAACAATTTCCAGTTGAAGAATCGCTTTCGTTTTGATTTTGTTCAGCTGCATGTTGAATAATAATTGCACAATGTGTTCACCAAAACTTTTATAAAACCCTTGTTTACACTGGTTTGGAGAACCTATACAACTGCAACACAAAGGTGTTGTCTAACGTATTCAGTAAAACGTTTACCCAAAATCAATTTCTTGTTGAAGAAACGCTTCCATTGTGATTTTATTCAACTGCATGCTGAATAATAACTGTACAATTAGTTTATTACAACTTCTGTAAAACTCTTGTTTACACTGGTTTGGAGAACCTGTTCAACTACAGCATTATATGTCTACGCGGTATAGGAGTAGAAGCAACTTTTATACAACGTTTATAGATACATATTTAAACTCAAGCTTTATTATTTTGGTGAAAGCTCTTATACAACGTTTGTAGACACTTCCTGACAGCTGCTTTGAAATTTAGTAGAGAGGAAACCTGAGAGGCGTTTGTTGCACTCTTTTATGACCCCTAAATAATCATTGTACAGCAAGCGGTGAAAAGCGTTTATAACACTTTTCAATGACTCCTTAACAACCGGATAGAAGCAGCTTTTATACATCGTTTATAGATACATATTTAAACTCAAGCTTTATTGTTTTGGCGAAAGCTCTTATACAAAGTTTGTAGACACTTTTTGACAGCTGCTTTGAAATTTAGTAGAGAGTAAACCTAAGAGGCGTTTGTTGCATAATCATTGTACAGCAAGCGGTGAAAAGCGTTTATAGCACTTTTTAATGACTCCTTAATAACCGTTGTGTAAGTACTCACAATATTCACAGATTAAAATTAGTTTAAAAATTGTCATGGTACGCCAAAATAATTGCTTGTACAGTTTTTATTAATTTAATTTATTTGTTCACATTGAAAAAATATGTAATTGTGCCATAATTCACATTCTGTGATCATGAAGGAAGTAGTAACAAGCATCTGTTTAATCTTTGATTGACATTCTTTCAATTAATCTCTCTAATAATTAATTGAGAGAATTTATCTAGAAACGTTATCGTTGATTATATGATATATGTCTTAAATTAATGTTTGCATTTATTAATAACACCTATTTATAATTTACCTCTACTTGACCGAGGGTTTCTCGAAGCAAGATTCGAACTCATAATTCCGGATTGCCAGCCGCTTCTGTTTCCATCTGCTCTATTCTTGAATACATATTTTGATCATATGAGAGAAGTATATGAAGCTCATCTTGAGTGACTTCTCTTGCAGTCATTGCCTTATGGTCATATAAACGTGCCTATCACTTGTGCTATTTTTAGCAACAAAATTGTGGTTGGTGGTTGGTCGAATGTAAACAATCATTTAAGAGTGCTCCAAGCAGCTTTTGAAGCTTCTAACCAAAAAGGGCAATACAACTACATTTTTGTTCAACTCTGGAAGCTATTATTCAACGTTTGATCAACTCAAGTGTTTTATAAGAGCTCCCAATGGTTTGTTTTGATGCGTTTATTCCACGTTCTGTATAGCTCTTGTGAATCAGTTTAACTAAGGTGCTATAAAAGTTATCGTAGGTCTTATAAAGCATATAGTTAAACCGAACGTAAACAATCATTTAAGAGTGCTCCAACAGCTTTTAAAACTTTTAATCAAATGGCAATACAACTACATTCTTGTTCAACTCTGGAAGCTATTATTCAACGTTTGATAAACTCAGGTGTTTTATAAGAGCTCTCAATTGTTTGTTGGGCTTGCGATAGCGCTTGGCACCTCCTTTACCAAGACATTTTCCTCCTTTGCCACGACCAGTCATTGTTGCTTGAGAGGTAGAAGAGTGGACTACCTAACCTGCCACAACCTTTCTACTGCTGCTATTGCTGCAACTGTTGCCTGCTCACCACGCCGTCCGAAGCGAAAATGAGTTGAGGCTAGACAGCATCGCTCTTTTATATCTTTTCTGGTTAAAGCAGAATGATGTGCAACCAATTGGTACTCGGGTTTGGGAATAACGTTTATTTCATGAAAACAGTGATCAAATTATCACTTTTTATTTGTAAATTGGACAATGCTTGACATTACCACGTTTTCAATAGTTTCTTGTAGAAAATGATCAGTCGGAAGAATTGCTATTGATGCGTAGAAATATTTCTGATCGATTGGTGATAAAATTATTGAAATTGGTCCAGGGGCAGCTGAGTTATTAATGTTCAAAATCTTTCTTAATTTTGTTACATGTTCCATTTTTGGTTTTCACAAAGTGTTCCCCATATAGAAATCACAGACGTAGTCCTACGTTAAAAGAAAAAGAATAAAAACGTTGAAACCATAAACCTTTGAACAGTGATGAAGAGGTTTGTTAAATCAAAATCAACAGAAAGATGTATTGGGATTATTTTTTGCATGGGAATCTTTAAAAAAATCATGGTTTGCTTACTTAGCACGAGAAAGGGCCTATTTTTCGTTGATGAATTGCCTTAATTCAGTGCGGATGAAAAGGTATCTCCTGTCTAGTTTGCTGTTTCAGATACAATGAGTCGAGACAGTCGGCGACAAAAATCGATCGGCCCTTTAAAAAGTCTCAAGATGACGCAGGCAAGATAAGATAACTTACAGAGAGCGTAGTTCCAACAACCTTCGATGGAGTTTGAAGGATTTTTGAATTTACTAACTCCTTTGAATTATATCGAACCTCTGAATTTTATCCCACCCACAATATTTTTCGTTGTTTTGAAAACAGTTTTTGGTAAAATCAAGACAGTAATGACCCGCACCAGACTTTTATCTTTCAATAATTTCGCACGAACCGTAATTCCAAAACTTTCTCATTTACCTTCAAGATGATTGTTTAAAGTATACTAAAGTATACTGATGCAATAAGACCACTTGAAAAGTGCATGGGTTTCGTAGAACCTTAGTAAAGATTTTCAAAAAGGGGGCTGACAAAAACGAGTAGTTACCGGAGTATTGCGGACTCACTCAATGTGCTTGTCACTTGGGAGCCAGTGTGAACTGTCAAACGGAAGCCAACTATTCAGAAGTAACAATTGCAGTCACTGTTCTTATCAATCGTCAAGTATTGTAATATCACACAGATAACAATTCTGAATTTTAATTGTGATGTAAACATTCAATCACGTAGACTTGTATTTCATTTCACGCAACCAAACAACTTGCAAACAATGTTGTTTACAAAGATGGGCTTTTGTATACAATATTTGCTCAATTGCATGAAATGTGTCAAAACTTTACATGATATATAATGTAAACTTATATGATATGTGACGCTCCATTTATGTGCATCATATTGAACAGAAATTTACACTACTTTTTCGAACTGTGCATATCAATGATCCATACTTTTTCATAACACATTCTTCATTTTAATCTTAAAGACAAAAAACAGCAGAGCAATTGCAATTGCAGTAAAGCATACTTTAGCGAAACATGTATGTAAACAAACTTTGATAGAGTCGTGGGTTCTTGAGCCCTCCTGGCTCAGAGCTTTTGTCAGGAATCAACTGAAAACGGGCAAGACAATGTTAAACTTAAAAAAAAATTCAAGCAGTTTTCCATTGGCTTGCAAAATAAAATCGAACGACTCCGCAGCACCCAGGTAATTACTAACGTCTTTTGATTGTTTTCCAATAGTTACAACATAAAAAATTGTATGCAAAATCCTTCTCAATCGAATACAGGAATATACAACGGATGACTTGGACGGCTCTCTATCAACAACTGTTAAAATGGTCAAAACAGTATAGCAACGAATGATAAGCTTTCGTTGAAGAGTAACATCACTCACAACATCAGTTGGTGACCATTTTGGTTTGTTTGAACAAACTATACTGCTTTTTTAATTCCTGTACGTTCAAGACTTGACCACAATCAGCTGAATAACCCAATAACTTCATTTGAGACACGATGCACATTGGTTCGGCTCCGTAAAGCTACAAAAATTGAGCCTCTTCAAACAAACGGCTACCGAAAGCTCTTGCAATCTTCTTTTTAACGTACACAATTTCGGCTCGCTAAGCTCCTCTGCGCTCATCATGGCAGCGTATTCCTCGTCTTCGTTCTTACCGCGAAGCCAATCTACGGAAGCAACGATACAGAAACAACATACAGGATTAGCAAACACTTCACAGCCTTCACACTACACCGAATTGACAAATGCACCTTTATAGAAATTAATCCCATCCGGGCTGGCCAGCGTCGACTGCTGGCAGCTGAGCAGCACCACTGCCAGCTGGAGCATTCCTCCAATCCAGAGGTACTTCCTACCTATTTCCATTTCCTCAAATGGAAACAGATTCGTCTCACTGTACTCTCGACAAACTGCAGACTGTAACTGGGCGGTATTTATCTCCTTCCACGCTCGGTATCCGTTACACTACTGAATGGGAAGCCACGGTGGATGTTGACTTATATAGACCATTTCCTTCCCCGATGGAATCCTTGTTACGTATTGTCCTTCCGCGAGCGCTGGAAGCGCCTGAAAGTGACAGTGATGTTTATTGCGTTCAAGTCTTTATTCCGGGATGTCATACACAGATCTGTTATCCTATACGGTATCACTTTTATCATATGATGACGTCATAGGTTCTGCTGTACGGGAAATGTTCGGATCGTAGACAAAAGAAAACCGTAAACTGTTTTAATAATCGTTATTTTTTTATTTTGTCTTATGTCGTACACTTCGCTTTCATTTGAAAGATATTTACAATTGTTTTTATTTGATTTAGTTGGACAGACGAAGAAGTAAGGCGTAAAATTACAGTTCATCTGGAAGGATTCAGTGTCTACAACGAGGAAGATTCTCGCGCGCGCGCTCTCTCGCTCTCTCTCTCTAAAAGTAATAATTTAATGAAACACTTCTACAGAATGACGGATGATAGCAAATTTCGTTTGGATGATAGGAGGAATGGTAACTATAATAGAATAAAAATCATCTGATGAATACTGGCTTCGTTTTGCCCAGTTGGCCCAGTCGCTGTACCTTCTCGTTCGCGCTATACGTATTGTCTGCTCGGTGCACTATGAACAAGAACGATTGGTTGAATCCTCCAACCATAACCCAAATGGTTGTCGTTTTTGGATGAATGTCAGCAAAAAAAAAATCAATGTGATAATCACAATAATGGCAGTGTGTTTTGCATCCCGGGTGCTCGCGATTCTCACTCACCCTAAAACAAGGAAATCGCATCCCGCTCTTTTTCGTACGAGAAAACTTGAAAATAAAGAATTAATTTAAATTAATTTAAAATCTATACAACTGCGCTTCGTTCGCTCCCTTGCTCACCCTCCCTTCCCCGCTTTCGGTAGCATCCTCGTGATTCGGCGACTTCTTCTGTGACTCGCAGACCTTAGTTCGTCTTCTTCGCCGACTTCCTGGACGTCCGACCGAAGTCCTCGATGATGTCGTACTCCGGTACATCGGGACTGCCGGTGTCGTAGTAGGCGTAGTCATACTCGTCCTTATCGCCGGCAGGTCTCTTTGTGCTGGTGGCGTTCGGTGGAATCGTTGGAGCTTTGGAGAATGGTCGTGGACTGACTTTACTGCTACTGGCGGCGGATGACTTCTTGGTTGGAGGGGCGGCCGGGACGGTCGGCTTCACCGACGAGGACGAGAGGAATTCATTGATCTTGGCAGCGGCTTGACGTGCCCGTTCCAGGATGAGGTCGTTACCGCTGGCGGCGATGTTCTGGGAGTGAGCCGTTCGGAAGATTTCGTCTTCGTCGCTGGAGGACAGCGACTGCGAGACGGGCGTCGACTGTTGGAAGAAGTTGTTCCGGGAGGAGGTCAGGGGATCGTGGGTTTGCTTGCGGTCCTGGTTGAATTTGACCTTGACGCGGTTTCGGTAGAAGTCCTTTTCGTACAGTTCCGGGTGGTACTGGCCGTCGTCTTCGTTGGCTTCGATGGCAGGGCGTTGGGTGGTTGTGGTGGTGGTGGTGGTGGTTGTAGGGACCGGGCGTTGCTGGGGTTGTTGGAAGTAGTTGACTGGCTGTTTTCGTGCGGTTGGAGGTGCAGAAGTAGTGGTGGTAGTGGTTGTGGTGGACGTTACTGGTGGGACGGTCGGGACGTAAATGGTGCTTCGAGGTGGGGCGGGGTTGATCTTTTCCTGAGGTTTATCGGGCTTTTGGATGATGAACTGGAGCAGGGCTTTCTTGCTAAGGGCGTTCGGTTTGAAGGTCGTTGGGTTGTACTGATCTTTCGGGACTAGGGTGGAGAATTTCTTGATCGACGAAGGCGTGTAGTTGTCGTTGCTGTTTCGGGAAATCGTCTGGTAGCGTTCGTTGGTGACCGTTGGCCGCTGAGTTGTGGTGCTTGAAACGGGAGTAGCGGCCGTCGTTCTGGGGTCATAGGGGTTCTGCTGCAGGGATTGTGGATGCTGTCGGATGGTGTGTTGCTGAGGTTGTGGTCGATAGCTGAGCGGGTTGTAGGTGGATGGTTTGTAGCTCTCGAATGCTACGGTGGTAGTGGGGGCAGCGGTAGTGGTAGTAGTGGTACTGGTACGGCTGCCTTGGTACTCGTTGTAGTTGAACTGACTGAGACGGCTTTGCTCTACGTTGAAGGTGCGTGGTTGAGCACGGTTTCGCTGAGGTTCCTGGGTTGTTGTGAACAGTTCGGTGACCGCCCGTTCGGTAGCTTTGTTTTCGAAGCCGGTATTGAAGAACTGAGGCGCTTGGGTAATTCTGGAGTTAAAGTTCTGCTGAGCAGGTGCGACAGTAGTTGTCGAAGAGGTGGTGGAGGATGTTCGGAAATCGTTACTTGGATTGCGGTTGAAGAACTGGAAGTTGATATTCGGTAGCTGGGTTGTGGTGGATGGATTCGGGAAGTTTCCATGGAAGAACTGCGGTTGATTGTTGAAGTTACCCAGTTGTTCGTTTATATGACTGGCTGGTGTGGACACTGAGATCCGGAAGTCCCTTACGGGAGCGGGAGCGGGAGTGCTTGAAGGGAATCTCTGCTGTTGCTGCTGGTGCTGCTGCTGTTGCTGAGGGAATGGCGCAGGAGTAGTTTGGTACTGTGGAATCAGTGGAGTCCTTGCTGGAGTGGTGTTGATCTGCTGTTGCTGGAAGAAACCATTACCGTTTCGGTTGGTTCCGGAGTTTTGAGTGGGTCGTTGTCCTGCTCGGGAGAATGGCACCGGAGTCGATGCCGGTGGTTCCTTGAAGTTGACCTGAGTGTTGTTCTGGGGCTGCAGAATGGTCGTTGGTTGCTGACGGAAGTTGTTGGATCCGCGGTTGAAATTTGGAATCTTTGGTACATCTACGAAGTCTTCCGGAGTGGTTGACTGAAGTCGTGTTTGCCGTGGGGGAGTGGGTTTGACATCGTTCCGAACGATGTTGAGGTTGTGGGCCCGAACGCTTCCCCTACCACGGTTGCGTCCTCGTGTTTGAGACTTGGTGGTGGCGGGTGTCGTAACCGGAGCAGCTGTGCTGGACGCGGGCTTCCGAATGTAGTCCTCTTCGAAGTCTTCCTTTCCGTTGTTGCGGTTGTTGAAGAAGTGCGAACTGTGCGATCCACGGAAGATTTCATCATCTGTAAAAGGGAACAAGTAAACATAATCGAACAAGAGACGGCATTGCCAGGGATGAGTGATTCGAGGTTGTAGTGGTGATAATGATGACAAGCGTGGCCATTTGAATATTTACTATTGTAATCGGTACGCTGCTGCTGTTGGCGTTGTTGCTGATGCTGTGGTTGCTGTTGTTGTTGTTGTTGCTGTTGTTGTTGCTGTGGCTGCTGCTGTTGCTGCTGTTGGCGTTGTTGCTGTTGCTGTGGTTGCTGCTGGCGTTGTTGTTGCTGCTGCTGTTGCTGTTGCTGTGGCTGCTGCTGGCGTTGTTGTTGCTGTGGCTGCTGCTGTTGTTGTGGCTGTTGTTGCTGTGGCTGCTGTTGCTGCGGTCTCTGATTGTTGACGAAGCTAGTCGGCGTGGTGGATCGATTTTCGTCAGGACGACGATGGTCGGACGGGGTAGCTGTAGCCGCTTGAGCAGTTAGCTGTCGATACTGCTGTTGTTGGGCTTGCTGTTGCTGATTATAAATTAGCTGTTGCTGCTTGTGTTGCTGATGTTTCTGCTGGATTTGCTTCTGATATTGGCTGTTCGCCTTGTTGTTGTTGTAATTCTCAGTTGTCGTGAACGGAGGTGGCGTGGTTGTCGTCGTCGTTGTGGTACTGGTCCTAGTCGTATATACCGGAGGTTGTCGATGATGCTGGGGTCTCTGAACCGAAGGGATTTGGTTGAAATTCTGTACTGCTGCAGGGGTTTGCTGAGGCTTTGAGCTTTGATTCACGATGTACTGCTTGCTACGCCTAGCGTCATCTGTATATGAAAAGAAAGTAATCAGTGTTGAATGTATGTTGGTTCTTTCCACGGCTAATTGAGGGCACCCACTGGTTTCTGCCCGCTGCAGGTGGAAAGTGGCTTCCTCCTCTTCGGCGAATGGAGCCCGTTTGCTCTCGAAACCGGATCCGAGTCGGTAGAGGTCGAAATTGTCACTGCCGTAATAGAGCGTGGCTGCTTCACAGTCGACATCGCCCCAATCGGCACAGATTTGAGCTTCCTGATCGAAAGCCGTACCATTGGGGCAAAGGAATCTGAAGTCTTGCACCTGTTGGGAAAATGAGTAGTGGTTGTTCGGTGGCGCAATTTTGCACAAGGCCACGTGCGCCCACGCAGATCAATTTCCAAAACACGCGGCATGGGAAGAATACAATAGAGCCATACAGTTAACAGAGGGGAAGAAAAATGAGAGAAGAAAAACAGATTAATTCGTGAGAAAAATTTAAATTGCGGAGCTTGTGCACGATGCAAGCGGTCTCTGGTTGATACGCTCTGTGTGGGTCTTTGGGTCTTTGGGTGGGCGAGCGCGCGGTCGTGGCGTGCCTTATGAGCGTGTGCTGCTGGCAGTGCTGGTCTATTTACCTACTCCTATAGTGTACTAGAGAGCGAGCGTTGAAAACAATGGTGGTCGTGATTATAAAATGAGGTGTGAAATAAGCGCGTCGTCTTGGTCGTCGTCGCCGCGTCGATGCCGGTGTTGGTTCTTTTGCGCAATGGGCATGCAAAAAAGGTGCCTTAAGAAGAATCAATCGAGTTGGATGGCCTTCCCAAGGCTTCGGTGGACCGTTCTTAAGCCATGCCAACCGTGGGAACTGGTTATGCAATGAAAATTAGCACCTTATGATCGGACCGCAAGGGCAGATTCATCGATCCGAACAACAGTTCCCTAATCAATTAACGACTTTGGAGACACTGAGTTTAAGCTCCCGATCGTCGATCAGCGAGGCAACCAAAATTGGACAAAAACCGTCCGACTCTCGCTCATCTGGTTTTAAAGGTCAATCGAGTCTCTAGGGAAAATCGTGCCGATCACGCTCTCTCTCTCTCTCTGTCTCCTTTCGCTTCTGTTTCATCTTGTGTATGAAGTATGTAGACCTAGGTCAAGCATTTGACGGGGGAGGGGTTGATTAGTGTTTGGTTTTAGTAGTTAAGTGATGATGATTGTACAAAAACAAAACAAGCAGTGATACTCGTCGTCCGGTGGTGGTGTGGCAATGCAGGAATGCCACAGTCCCATCGGTAACTTACGCCAATTCCGGACACTTTGACGCACACGTGGAACATCTGACACTGGGTTTCGGAGTCTGCGTAGTAACCGCCGAGGATTTTGTCCCGGCAGGTGAAGCTGGTTTTGGGCATGTTGTCCAGACTGTAACGCGGTCCGGAGTGGACCTGGCCATCGTTGCTGATGATTGCTGTCGTTAGGAAGAGCGCTGAAAGTGGACGGAAAGCAAATTGTACGGTTAGTAAGGATATTATTTATTCTTAGATTCTTGCTAAATGATCGTATGAGCAAAGCTCCATTTTCTATGCACAATGGTACCTTCAAGGTTCTATGGTCACATTGATGGTGGTGAAGTTGATCACTACGCAGTTCAATTTTCGATTCTTAATAATACATTTTTCATAAGATAATTTGTTTGGAATTTTTGTTCCTCAAAATCCGATCATAATGATCATTTATTCTGGTGCTGTGTATGGCGAAATTACTTTTTTACTTAACTGTGGGTCGCTGAATCCGAATCTGAAATCAGGTTTCGTTAAAATTAACGATTTTGTATTATAGAAATGATTTACTGTGACAAACTGATGTTAATTGCCCACATTTAGGCGTATTTTTTTAAAACTATTTTGCGATAAGGGGATTAGATTTTGATAAGTCTTTAGTGGGAATGACATTATAGTCGAAATACGTATCTGTCGTGGATACCAAAATTAATTAAGTAGAATTAAGTGTAAGATAACCTTTTTTGCTGTTTTTTAAGCATTCCGTTAACAACCCAATTTCATTACTTCAACTTATTTTTTTTTATGTTAAAATTAACATTTCAGCCAAATATAATTTTGAAATAACATAATTTATGATTAGTTCCTAACATTTGCTACAACATATAAAGAACTTCAGCTAGCTGAGTAAAAGCTCAGCGAACTTCGTAGGAATTCAGTGAACTTAGTAGAAACACATAAAACGCAGAAGAACGTAGAAAATTTGTCATCAAACTTTGTAGAAATTTAACGAAATTAAGAAATTTGGGAAACTTCTTAAAACTTCAGCAACTTTGTATGAACATCTCGGAAACCGTACAAAGGGAATTTAAGATAAATTAAAAGAGCTTCGAAAACATTCTGGAATACTTCGTAGAAGCGGGGAACTTGTACAAATTTAGGAGCTTCGATGAAGTTCAAGGATCATTTTATGTTGCATTAAACCTTATTAAACCTCCGGGACCTTCTTTCAATTTTAGGGCACTTCTTAAAAGATTGGCCTTGGAATAGTTTACGAAATTCCGTAGAAGTTCAAAATATTTATGGATTTTTTGAAATAGTTCAGCGATCTATGCAGAAGCTAAGCGAATTTAATAGACATTCGAAGAACTGCACAAAACTTCATAGGGAGCAAGGGATTTTGTAAAAGTTCAGGGAACTTTGCAGAAGCTCGGTCAACTTTATAGAACCTTAGCGAACTTTGTAAGAGTTCTGGAAGTTTTGTAGATGCTCAAAGAATATTGTAGAGGTTCAGAAATCTTTAAAGAACTTCAGGATTTTTTGGAACTTCCAGCCTGACTTTGGAAATTTTGTGCTGCCTATATGGTCAGGACAATTAGTAGAAGTTCGTAGAAGTTTGAAATTGGAGATCTTCTCTTTAGGGAATAATGAGATATTCAGGGAACAATGTATGAGTTATAGGAAATATGTATGTACAAGTTCAAAACTCCTGATAGAAATTCAGTTGTAGTTTGTGTAAGCTATTGACAAATCGTAGATGTTCAGGGAGCTTCATAGAAATGGACACATCTTTCCCAGATTTCACAGAACTTTGCATAAACTCAGGATGATTCATAGAGGCTCAGGGAACTTTGGATAAGTTCAATCGATTGGGAAGAAGTTCAGGGTTCTTTTTCTGAGTTTAGGGAACTGAGTTTAAGTTCTAGAAACTTTGTTTAAAATAAAGAATATGAAGGTTATACAAGTTCAGGAAACGTCGTTGAATTTTAGATAACATTGTTGATGATTACGGATTTTCTGTTGAGAAATAATTTTAAAAACTTTTGAAAAATGAAATGGTTGATGCAGTAATATTCGTATGATCTTGTCAAAATTTTAGATGATGTTTATCTTATATTTCAAAAGTATTTGAAAGATCTCCAGCTAATCGAAGATTTCAATAAAGTTCTCTGAATATTTTTTTCAATACCTCAGTTTTTTTTTCCTTGATTTGTTTTCCGTCGATCTTGTTTTCCGTGCTGAGCACCCATGCCACCGACACCAGGGAGGCAACTCCCACATCTGGACCCTTTTTATCGACCCATCTACTCATGAACCGGGGACCAACGGCTTTACTTCCATTCCGAAGGAAGGCGTGTTCAGAGATGTTATGCCTCAGAACATCCCGGCGGCGCCGACTGGGATTGAACCCAGGCCTGCTGGGGTGAGAGGTAATCGCGCTTACCACTACACCACCGGCGCCGCTAAATACCTCAAGTTGATCAAGCATTATTCTGAAGATTTTCCATTGTTTAGAGAGAGAGAGGAAAGTACTAGTTCTCTCTCTCATGCCAACGCAAATTTTACTCCGCTCAGATCTGAATACACCATAAAGCTGGGTTTAGACTAGGCAAGTCAAATGATCAACTCAGGTGAATTCAATTGGCTTGAAAAGTTGAGCCTGGTTCAACTTTTTTCAATTCAAGTCAGTTGATCAAGTCAGTTGAATGGCACGGTTTACACGTTCAATTCGCGTTCAAGTCAGTTGAATTCAACTGACTTGATCAATTGACTTGGCCTGTCTAAACCCAGCATAATTCTCCAGCAGAATTGCTCTCACTATTCTCGGCTTCAGCTCCATATCATCATCGGAGCTGAATCGTAAAGAATCGAGAGAAAAACAGGATCCTGGACGGGTCCATAAGCTGTCATCCTAAACAGCTCCCAGTGAATTATTCGGGTCGATGATTCGGATCCGGAGCTGAGCTGTGAGGTGGAGAGCTGCGGAGTGTGCGGAAGAGAATGATGTAAAGGAACAACATCAGCAATAACGGGCTGTTTACACTTATGCTAGTTCACTAGCTGAACCAGCTCAATAAACTAGCGCGAATAACAGTTGTTTCTGAAATATCATGCTTTTAGATACTGACAGTTCTAGTACACTAGCGCTAGTGAACCAGCGTATATGTAAACACCACATAAGAGCCGGGTACGTAAATACATTCACTGAGGCAAATAGACTTAAGAATTTCATAAGGCTCGACTTATAAACGACACATATGAATTTCATAAGCGCGACTTATGAAAAAATTTCGTCTTACATAAGGTAGCTCTTGTACGCTTTTAGCCATCCCGTTTACCCAAACTTTGAAAGACGAGTGGTACAGGAACAGGACCCGTAGTAACAACGTCCACGGTTCGGTCTGCTCCGTATAATTATTTTTTTGTCGACATTATTTTTCATAAGGCAAATCTATGAAATTCATATTGATTTCTTGTGACTAAAATTAATAAGTGGTTCTTATGGAATTCTTACGATCTTTTACCTCGGTGTTTGATAATACCAGAAGTAATTTCACTAATATCGACATGATATAACCGATTACAATTATTTTACTTTCTGTTCGTTAATCGATTATTCGACTATAAATCGGAAATCACCAGATGAGTGAAACGTCATTTCAAATATAAGGGCCGTTCATAAATAATGAGACAATTTGAAAGGGACCGTAGCTAATCACAAATTACGTTCCCACGGTAACTGAAAGAAACACGAGTGCTGACCGGTTGCTACTACGGCCAACAAAGGAACAACTACTTCAAATAACGGCACAAAACCAACCGTTTGAAAATCATTTTTGAAGTAATGTATTATTGTCGCGCTTATGTTAAATTCTCATTTGATGACGGTCGAAGCGCGCCGCTCATACGTGCGCTGCAACCCCGCCCATAAGGATTATCCCAAAGATATCTAATTAACAAGATATCCCACTAATCAATTCCTCATATAAGGCATATAGTTACCACCCTTATGTGATCGCAGTGCTATCTGTTGAGTGCACATTGAAACTGTTAAGCGTTCCCCGCCAACTTTACCACGAAGGCTCAATAATTGACAGGTGTCAGCATGGCAGATGTCAACGCGGACGTTGATGATCAGCCGAGGGAAGAGGACGATATCGTCCTCGAAGTCATCATTATTATATTGCGAGGAGGGTGACTCTATCCAAGATGCATTAATTTTTTTGCTTTGCTGTCGTGAGATGCACTCGCGCTTAATAGATAGAAACACCATTGATTATGATTTTGAAGATTTCCTGCAAAAAGGTGGAGAGCGATGCGAGTAGATGGGCTTAGATATAAGAGATGAAAAAAGATTTTTCGTAGATTGATTCGCTAGTGTGAGATTTTTCGACCATTTAAAATCGAGATTTAGATGTGTCGCACCCCTCGTTATATTGCGATAGCAAGATTCTTACTTGTTTGTGATTGCTTCGATTTTCAATCATTACCAGTTTATATGCAACACTTGAGAAGACAATCACACATCCAAGCGCGCATCATGATGTATATATGTTTTGCTTTCGAGCGAAAGAGTTTCCAATATACCACCGGTATCAGTAAGATGCAAATCTCTAATAGTAATTGATGTTTTGCGGAGCTGTTGTTGAACATATTCTTAATAAGCATAGATGTAAAAATGGGAAAAAACCCCTTCCCTCTCTCTAAAGAATTATTCCAACACCCCAGCCACTGGAAATGCACCGTATCGAAATCATTGCTAAACGTAATAAAATATGCCATCTTCTTTGGCCAACGCAACAAGCATTCCGTTCAAAAATTACGTTGGAATAATCATTACTTTCCTATTTTATAACGTAGGAAGTATTTGACAACGTCGATGAAAACAAACGCAAACGGGAATAGCCGAAGCTGAATGAGTGATGACGCCACTTCGTGTTTTGATTTGCACTGTACCCGTCCGCTCAGTTGTGTGGGTTCGTACATGCATAGATATTGGTGTGCGTGTTTTCTTACAACGCAGCAGTTCAACGTTGTCTCGTCACAAACCGTTTGGCGCTGTTATCTGTCTCTATAAATTCCAAAGAGTGAAGGGGGTCTGATTACATCCATTTCCCCTAGTATTTAGTTTAGAATAAATAATAATATTTCAACTACCCAAGTAACGATAGGCACGTTGTTTCAGCTTTTTGGCTATATACGGGCC